AGGGGCTTCCGGTGGGGGTGGGTTGCACACAGGCCCCAGCTGCCAGCTCCTGAGCCGGTTCCTGCCACCCCAGGAGAGAAGACGCAGGACCTGATCGGGGTGTCGGAGCTGATCATGTCCACGGCGCTCCAGGGCGTGATCTTCTGCCTGCTGGGCGCCCAGCCGCTGCTGGTGATCGGCTTCTCCGGGCCCCTGCTGGTCTTCGAGGAGGCCTTCTTCTCGGTGAGGGTCCGCAGGCTACTTGGGGCTGCCCCTCCTTTGTCCAGAACACACCCACCCGGGCTCTGACCTGACTGGACCTGTCCCATCCCTGCCCCTCAGTTCTGTAAGAGCAACAACCTGGAGTACCTGGTGGGCCGCGTGTGGATTGGCTTCTGGCTGGTGCTGCTGGCCCTGCTCATGGTGGCCCTGGAGGGGAGCTTCCTGGTGCGTTTTGTCTCCCGTTTCACCCAGGAGATCTTTGCCTTCCTCATCTCCCTCATCTTCATCTACGAGACCTTCTACAAGTTGATTAAGGTGGGCAAGGCTTTGGGACTAGAGGGAGCGGGGCGGGGGCTATGCCCCTCCTGTTCTCTCTCCTGGGTGTGAGGCCAGGCTGGCTCTGAGATCCCCTGGCCACAGTCCACGGAGCCCACAGAGTGCGCGCTGGTTTTTCCTCCTGCCTCCCCCCAAGTCCCACCAGGTCATCAACACACACCAGGGCTTGAGATTGATCTTAAAAACATATTTTTAATAGCAAAGGTAATACACCTTTGTTAAAGTGGCAAACAATCCAGAAATGGAGAAAGGAGAAGCCCCCGAGAGGACAGCACTTCAGACCCATGCCTGTGACGGGCTTTGTGCTCTGTGCTCCTCCAGGCCTGGGCGGAGCCACACGCCCCAGCTGCCTTCCTGAGTTAGAGCAGCCCCTCTCTTAATCCTCAGTTGCCCTGTGCTCATAGCTGGTCTTCTGGGTTTTCTTTTTTTTTTTTCGGTTAATTCTCACCGGAAGATATTTTTCCATTGTTTTGTGTGTTTTTTTCTTTTAGAGAGAGTGGAGGGGGGGAGGAAGGAGGGCAGGAAGANTCTCACTGGAGGATATTTTTCCATTGTTTTGTGTGTTTTTTCTTTTAGAGAGAGTGGGGGGGGAGGAAGGAGGGCAGGAAGAGAGAGAGAGGGAAACATCGATGTAAGAGAGACATCTATTGGTTGCCTCCCGCATGCGCTCCAACTGGGGCCGGGGATCAAGCCTGCAACCAAGGTATGTGCCCTTAACCGGGAATCGAACCCGTGACTCTTTGGTCCGCAGGCCAACAATGCTCTAACTACTGAGCAAAACCGGCCAGGGCTGGGTCATTTTTTTTAATCAACAGGACAAGCTCCTTGTGGGCAGGCTGGCCATCCCTGCCCCACTTGTCTCGTTCAGCACACAGGTGAGCCCGGAAATCTCCTCGGTTTTACTGACAGAGTCCTTTGTCCCCTGCCCAGATCTTCCAGGAACACCCCCTCCATGGCTGTTCGGTCTCCAACAGCTCCGAAGCAGACAGTGGAGAGGCAGACATTGGCGACAATACCACGTGGGCTGGGGCAGGAGCCACGCTGGGGCCAGGGAATGGGAGCTCGACCGGGCCCCCTGGGCAGGGGAGGCCCCAGGGCCAGCCCAACACAGCCCTGCTGTCGCTGGTGCTCATGGCTGGCACCTTCTTCATCGCCTTCTTCCTGCGCAAATTCAAGAACAGCCGGTTCTTCCCTGGCCGGGTATGTGGGCTGGAGGCCCGAGGGAAGCGGGAGCTGGAGGCATGAGGGGGTGATGTGGAGTCAGGCCTGTCTGGAGCGGGACGGGGGCCTCTGGTCTGAGCATAGTGCTTGCCCACAGGTGCGGCGGGTGATTGGGGACTTTGGGGTGCCCATCGCGATCCTCATCATGGTGCTTGTGGATTACAGTATCGAGGACACCTACACCCAGGTAAGGAAGAGCACATGCAGCAGTGAGAACATGCTGCCTGGCACTGGGCTCTGCAGTCCCACCCTCAGAGCCGCCCCTTAACTGGGCAGACACAGGCCTTTTCTTTTTTTAATATGTCTTTATTGATTTCAGAGAGAGGGAGGGAGAGGGAGAGAGAGAAACATCAGTGATGAGAGAGTTGTCATTGATCGGCTGCCTCCTGCACGCCCGACTGGGGATCGAGCCCACAACCCCGGGCATGTGCCCTGACCGGGAATAGAACCGTGATCTCCTGGATCATAAGTCAACACTCAGCCATTGAGCCACACCTGGCCAGGCTCTTCTTTTCTTTTTTTTTTAGTGACTTCAGAGAGGAAGGGAGAGGGGGAGATAGAAACGGCGATGAGAGAGAAACATCCATTGGCTGCCTCCTGCACACCCCCTACTTGGCATTGAGCCTGCAACCCAGGCATGTGCCCTGACTGGGAGTCACACCGGTGATCTCTTAGTTCATGGTTCAACACTCAACCACTGAGCCACACTGGCCGGGCATCATGGGCCTTTTCCACTGCATGCCCTCAGGGCTCTCCCTCCAAGGCTCACTGGCCCCCCTTCTGCCCTGCAGAAGCTGAGTGTGCCAGATGGATTCTCAGTGACAGCCCCCCAAAAGCGGGGCTGGGTCATCAACCCCCTGGGTGAGAACAGCTCCTTCCCCGTGTGGATGATGGTGGCCAGCCTGCTGCCCGCTATCCTGGTCTTCATTCTCATCTTCATGGAGACACAGATCACCACGTGAGTGGTCCTAGCCGAGGCGGGTGCTGTGCAGATGGGAACCATCTGGTGGTGCGTGGATGGGCCAGAGCCCCGGGCAGGGGCTGCATTGGGTGAGGGGAGCCCAGGATGCCAAGCTGGCCACTTGAGTTTATTTTGTAGATGGCAGAAGATCCCGCTGATATTTGCTGGGATGGGCCCAGGTCAGGCTGGGAGCTGTCCTAGAGGGCAGGGGGCAGTGCAGAATGGGCCCAGCTCCAGGACGGAACTCTCATTTGGATGGAATGGGCAGGGACCACCAGGTTCCAAAAACAGAGGCAACCGACTGGGCTCTGTGGAAAGACCTGGTTGTCCGCTGAGCTGGCCCCGGGCCTCAGTGCGCGCCTGTCCCGCTCAGGCTGATCATCTCCAAGAAGGAGCGCATGCTACAGAAGGGCTCCGGCTTCCACCTGGACCTGCTGCTCATCGTGGCCATGGGCGGCATCTGTGCCCTCTTTGGCTTGCCCTGGTTGGCTGCTGCCACCGTCCGCTCCGTCACTCACGCCAACGCGCTCACCGTCATGAGCAAGGCTGTGGCACCCGGGGACAAGCCCAAGATCCAGGAGGTCAAGGAGCAGCGGGTGACAGGGCTGTTAGTTGCCCTGCTTGTGGGTATGTTCACCTCTTGATCCCGCCCGTCCTGGAGGGGCCTTGGGTCCACTGAGGGTGGGGAGCCCTGGGGACAACTGTTTCTCCCCCTCCTCCCAGGCCTCTCCATGGTTATCGGGGACCTGCTCCGGCAGATACCCCTGGCCGTGCTCTTCGGGATTTTCCTGTACATGGGTGTTACCTCCCTTAATGGGATCCAGTTCTATGAGAGGCTGCACCTGCTACTCATGCCACCCAAACACCACCCAGACGTCACCTACGTGAAGAAGGTGAGACCCCATTTGGAAGGGCCCTGTGCCTGCCCCCTCTGGGGCTGGGTGGGTCACCATTCGGACTGTGCAGACCGGGATCGGTGCGCACTCAAGAAGGCACTGCTGGCCTCACCCCCGTGGAGGGGAGAGGGGTCAGCCATCCCGACGTCCCACCAGGGACCAGGGCCCTTGGTGGCTAGGGAGAAGCTGGACTCGCCCCTCACCCCGCCCTCCTCACCCCCAGGTCCGGACCCTGCGCATGCACCTGTTCACAGCCCTGCAGCTGCTCTGCCTGGCCCTGCTCTGGGCCGTCATGTCCACGGCGGCCTCCCTGGCCTTCCCCTTCATTCTCATCCTCACCGTGCCGCTGCGCATGGTGGTGCTCACCCGCATCTTCACCGAGCGGGAGATGAAATGCGTAAGTCCCCCCC